AAACGATTGCGACAATGGGTGGCGAAAAACGACAAGAAAAACGCGGTGAAGGGTGGCTGTTTCGTCGAGGTTTTCTTAGGGTAGATTAAGCGATTGAGTCCGCTTAATCGATTTTGATTGGAGAAGGGGGGTCGTTTGCAATTTTCAAAATTTAAACAAATTTTCGTTAATTATATATTACCCATTTATGTTTAAATCTTTTCAATTTAACCCGTTTTACATATTTAATGAATCTTAAATATGCCATGTCAGTTTTTCTAAGTTAAAAAAATTGCAAAAAAAATTCAGGGTTATTATTTAAAATGCAAACTTGGGATGTCCGGGGAGTTAAATTTCCTCACTTGAATAGGGCTCTTGACATTGAACTTTGATTTGTTGAAATTAAAAGCATATGTTGTAAGTGTTCACATGGAGACAAGTTTTGAGGAAACTATGGGTTTTTCGAGTGGAATTTATGGGAAAGATGTAAAGTTTGCTGTTGAAGCTAAAGATAATGTAAGTACTAGGTTTGAGGCATCAAGGGTTTGTTGTGAGATTGATTATGGGGAAGAAAATTGATCCTGTGATTAGTGCTGCTAGTATGGCGTATAGTATGAGGAATGAGAAATTGACTAAGGGAGAGAAAGAAATGATTGACGATTTTGAGAATGTTTGATGAAGCAATTAGGAACCACGTATGAAGTTGGGGACATGGTATGGGGAAAGATTAAATCACATCCGTGGTGGCCGGGGCAGGTATTCCATGAAGCTTTTGCAATGCCTTGGGTGTGTAAAACCAAGAAACAGGGGCATCTGTTGGTTGCATTTTTTGGAGATAATAGCTATGGATGGTTTGATCCAATGGAGCTTATACCATTTGACGTTAATTATGTTGAGAAATCGATGCAAACAGATGCTAGGCCGTTTTTAGATGCTGTTGAAGAGGCAGAGGATGAGGCTGGTAGGAGAGCTGCTCTTGGAGTGTCCTGTCAGTGTCATAATCCTTGTAACTTTCGGGCAACGGGTGTTAAAAGGTTTGTTGAAGTTGATATGAATGGCCATCAGCTCGGTGTGGTGTATTCAAAGCAGCAAATTAAAAATGCTAGAGAAGGGTTTCAGCCTTTCGAGATGCTTTGTTTTGTACACAAGTTAGCATCTATGCCATCTAGTGATTTGAAAAGAAGCATTGATTGGATTAAGAATATCGCTGTTGTTCTTGCTTACCGGAAGGCCGTGTTTGAGGATGTCGATAAGACCTATGCTCAGGCCTTGGGAGAACAGCCAATACATGGTGCCAAATCATTTCAGGCTTTGAATCTGCAGGAGCAAGGGCATTCTCAAGGTATTGATTCTTAAATGTTGATGAACTTGTGTATTTAAGTTTCATTGATTACCATCTTTTGTTTAACAAAGCCTATCTATGTCTGTTTCCTGTTCTGGAGGCGTTGCAAGTTTATCCTTACATATGGAAAAATAGAATAAAAGAGGGGCTATTGAGCTTGAGTTTCATTACCTTTTACTATTATTATTAAGATTGGATTTAAATTGACAGATATCAGGCTCTGGATTTCTCATATAGAATTATTAAACAGAAATCACAAATCAGTATGGCCAGAAATGGCGTTGTGCATTTTGTGATCTTTTTGTGAAATTGTGTGGCAGTCACATGGATTTCTGGTTTGTCTCATGATGATGCCCAGATATCCTAGTGTGTGTTAGTGCTTGATATTGCTCTTTATTGCCATGTTTTCTAGAAGAAGTTAGAAACTGCTCAGAAGCCTTATAGTAAAATCATCAGCTACAATTATATGAATCCAATGTTAGGCAGGATCTAGCTGACTGTTGTCATTGTGATGGTAACTGTTCCATTTCTTGCAAAATGTGGTTTTATGGTTAGTCCAAGCTGAGCCATAAGGTCATTTCATGTAGTTCCAATTGCCAGCTTATATATATGTATCAAGTGGTTTTCTTGGTCACTGGTGATAAAATGGGATGAACAAATTGTTTATCAAATATTTAGCAACTTGTCGTGTATAATATTAGTTGTGTCCAATTCATATTACTTGTCTGGCAAATTGCATTTAAATATTCTGATCTCTTGGTTTCTTTATGTTCTGTCATATGTATTTCTCATATAGTTTTTCGCCCTATTACAAAGTTCTTTTTGGTTTCTTGTTGAATATGGAACAGATCCTTTTCGCAAAGAAGCCACAACTGTAAAGAAGTCAACACTTGAAAATAATTCAATTAAGGCTACAGTTGACGGAGAACCAAAGAGGGTAAAATATTGTGACAGATCTCAAGGTTTCCAACAATGCCGGCCAAAATTCAAAAAACTAGTTGAAACTAGTCATTCTTTGGAGAATGTGCAGGTGGTTGGAAGAGTTTTGCCTCCCCCAGATGCTGTAGTAATTCGAAAGGTTACCAGTAGTGAAGGTCTGGATGAGAAACCAAGAGTTCAGAAACGTTTTGGAGGAGATTTACATTCTGGGGAAACTCTTTTAGCGGGTAAAAATAAAAGGAAGAAAGAATTTAAGTCTGAACCAGACCTTGAATGTTCAGATAATCTCCTTAAAGATGAAAAAAGATAATCAGGCTATAAACCACACACCTTTTCTTTTGATTCTATGGCTACAGAGCAAATGGTTGGTTTAAGAAGTATTAACAGCAACTTTCCCCAGTTGCTTAGTTATCTGTTAGATCTTGCTCATAGCCCGTGTCATTGCAAGAACAATATCCCTGAAATTGTGCTGAAGTTTTTCATGAAACTCAGATCTGTAGTCTTTAAGAAAGACTTTGTTGTGGCCCCAGCAGCAGAAGCCGAATTAACTGAAAGTTCACCTACTAAATCTTCTGCCTGTTGTGTGGCTAAGAGTCCTTACAATGTAACTGCTCAAGACCTGCCTTGTGCTTTGAAACCACCAAAAAAAGGGCTCAAACCTGATGATTATGCAAATGTTGGAGTAAACAGCAGCATTTGTGATCATGTGAAAAAGATGCCTGTGGAAGAACTGAAAAAAATGAAGGAGCTTAAGTTATTGACTGCAGAAAAGCAGACTGACAGCTGGAAGCTTCTGAAACCTAAAGGTAGCAATGAGAGAAAAATGAATGTGGTAGTCCCAAAAAAGCTGACAACACATACACCCAGGAACATGCAGGAGACTTCAACAAGGGCCGCTGAACCTACAATGATAGGGATGCAATTCCCTCATCAATCAGCGCTGCCCTCAGTTTCAGAGCTCAAAGCAAGATTTGCACGCTTCGGGCAGCTTCATTCTGCTCCTCATGTGTTTTGGAAATTCTCAACATGCCAGGTTATATTCAAGTTCAAATCAAATGCTCAGGCAGCGTATGAATATGCAGTCAAAAACAGATCACTATTTGGCAGTGCAAAGGTAGAATATTATCTGCAAGCCTTCCAAGTTCCTGCCACAGAATTCCCTAAACCAGGCAAGCAGCTTGTTATAGGAAAATCCCCTGATTGGGTTCCACCTGTTATGTCCATGAGCATGGGTAATTCCACTAAACCAAGGTCTACGCCACCTCAGCTTCCAAATGTCCAGTCAAAATCATTTCTGAAGAAGCAACAGGTTGATGAGGTTATCATTATTCATAGTGACACCCCCCATGTCAAAAATATGATGAAAGGGGAGGAAAGTATTGGCACAGAGCAGTTGGCAAATCGCAATGTCAAAATCTCTGTTGGCAATCATTCAAATGATACTTCAGATGCCTATGCAACAGTCAACATTAATCCACAAAACTTGCACGAGGTCATGCCTCCTCTTCCTCTCCCTCCAAACAGGATCTCTTGCATGCTTGAGAACCACAAACTTGACCATTTTGTAGAGATTTGCAACAGGCGATATCTTCAACTTGAAGCAAGGAACAAGTGTATCTATACCCCTAGCAGCGAGAGGAGCATCAACATCTCAAATCAAACACTAAACCTTTTAATGAGATGCCATGACATAGTTGCCAACTTAAAGTGCTCACTGGGATATGTGCCTTTCAATCTCTGATGTGATGAGCAGCAGCATAACAGCCGTGAAATGCAGGAGTAAGTGTGAAATTAGGCAGTCTAGAATCGCCGAATCGCCAAACCAAGACCCTTTTTACTTTTCCTAAAGTTTCAGTGTAAAAAAGTAATGTGGATGCTTGAGAGTTACAAAAAAAAGGAAAGTTGGTATAGGAATCTATTATTATTGAAGAATGATGGGAAGTAGATAGTTGTTACATTGACACAACAGTAGTACAGCTTGTAAATGCTTTTAGAAGGTGAAAAGAAAAAGCTCCCAGAATGTTTCTTATTGTTCTGCTTAGCCATATTATTGGGATAGGTATAAGATTCTGGCGGTCCAACTCTGGAAAACTGGACAATATTTTAAGATTGCAGGGGGAAGAATGTATCATTATTGAAGGTTTCCTACCGCGTATGTACTGCGTGTTATGCATATTGCTGAAGACAATTCCTTCAGAGTTATAATGAGATAATGCCTTACAAGAGGAGTTGTTATAGTTGAACCATATCTATCTATTTTTATGAATTTACACGTTAGCTTAGTTATAAAGACACAGGTTAATTATGGCGGCGTTTCATTTACGCATAAAAAATAATCTATTTTAATTAAGATCTTGTATAAGAATAGTGGTCAAACTCAAGAACAATATGCTTTAATTTTCAAATTATACTTCTTAAGTTCCACTACATAAAATAATTTAGAAAACCGAAAGTTATTTGAATGGAATGTAGTTGTTTTGTTTTACTTTTAGAAAAGCATCTCTTAAGTTGAATTAAAATACTAATTTAAATCGATTTTTAAAAAATCTAAAAAGTCAATGGAATAAATTTTTCCTTTGAACCGTTGAAGACTGTTTACTCGGAACAAAAGAACAATCGCAATTCGCAAGACTTCTTAACCGTGGTTAACAGATTACTTAACCATGGTTAATTCCGCGTTTTCAGAACCCAAACTGCTACGCGTTGACAGGGACTTTGTTTGATCCACAGGATAAACGCTCTATAAAATCCCCCACCTCTTCAACTCTCCCATCTTTTTTAATCCAGTCTTAGCTATGGCTTATCGCCCCTTAGAGCTCAACATAATCTCCGCTAAACACCTTAAAGATGTCAATCTCATCTCCAAGATGGACTTGTACGTCGTCGCTTCACTCGTCGGCGATTACTCGAAGAAGAAACAGAAGGCCAAGTCCCGTGTGGATCACGACTGTGGCCCAAATCCCACCTGGAACTTCCCCGTGAAGTTCACCATCGACGAGTCATTGGCCCAACAGAACCGCCTTAGCCTCGATTTGAAGATCAGGTGCGACGGTATCCTCGGTGATAAAGATGTTGGTGAAGTCAACGTCCGGGTCAAAGAGCTCTTGGACGCGCCTGGAGATCTCAAAAATTTCAAGTCTCAGACTTATCAAGTCATGACTCCCTCTGGAAAACCCAAGGGTGAGTTAACTTTTTCGTACAAGTTCGGTGATATAATCCCGGCACCCGCAGCCGGAGCCGCCGCCGCCATGCCCATGAATGCTGGTGGGGTGTATGGGTCTTATGGTAATGGTAAAGTTAAAGCTGATGAGCCTGTTATGGCATATCCGGCGGCGGTGGGGTCCAGTTCCACACCGTACGGTGTACATGCACATGCGCCGTACCCGCCGCCACCTCAACAAGGATACGTGTACCCACCACCGCCTGCTAAAGCGACAGCAAACGGAACTGGTGGGTATCCACCGCCTCCTCCTCCTCAGGGTTATGGGTATCCACCGCCTCCTCCTCAGGGTTATGGTTATCCGCCGCCACCTCCTCCGGCTTATGGGTATCCGGGTCAGCCCGGATACGGGTATCCGCCAGTGCAACAACCGCCTAAGAAGAACAAACTTGGAGCGGGAGCGGGATTGGGAGCTGGGTTGATTGGAGGAATGCTTGGTGGTCTTTTGCTTGGAGATATTGTTTCCGATGCAGCAGACGGTTTCGATGGCGGTTTTGATTTTTGATTTTATTTAGTAATTTAGCTGTTAAAGTTGGAACTTTTTTTTTTTTTCTATTTTTTTTGGTTGTTTTTAAAAGGTTGTTTGGATGGTGTGGTTGGGAATGGAATAAATTACTACTATCACGATCATGTATATACCCATAGAAGAATATGAATATTTCTTTTGCACTTTTAATGGTTTTGTACAGCCCTAAGCTTTGTGTTCTAACTTCTAATGGACACAATTTGCTCTTCTTTTCTTTTCAGAATAATTCGTATCCAATGGATTGGATATGTTTTCAGTGTCCTGGAATGTTACTTAGACCCAATATTTTCACTGGGACTATTCCTATGAAATGACTAAAGATAGGTCGAAAAAGAATTCTTTTGTGGGTCTGAAGATTGATATTGTGGCAATTGATTAGTGATTATAAAGTTGGAATACAAAGTACAAAAGGAGATTTCCTATGTTTTTGAGTACGAGTGCCTCCAAGCCCCAATAGGGGTGGTCACTACCTGATTACGGTCTAACTTTCAGGGTTCAGAGGATTAGATTTACAGCATTACTTATATTTAATTTATATGGGTTTGGAGCTAGTTAATCCATTCTGCTGAATTGGCTTTGCTTGGATATATTGTCTCCAGAACCTTTATATTTCGATCTTAAACGGGATTGCAATCCAGAAAAAACAGTATCTTATGGACTTATAATAACAATGAGTAGTCTCTCGTTTCATAGCTCTTTGTATATAGGATGTTCTTAAATCTGTAGATATACATATGCATCAAATAGTTTATTCAAAAGGATAAATCATTGGCCATTTTGTCTGGCATTCGTCTGTAAAGATTCAGTTTCCGGTAGAAAGATAACAAAAATGCCGGCAGAAATTGCGTACAACTTAGCAGAGACAAAATGTGAGGCGATAGATCATATACAACTTCAAACTACCTGCTGTCAACTCCTCCCTTAAATATATACATCTACATACATATATAAATTCAAAACCCCATAAAGCATTTTGTGTCATCAGTTATCTCCATTAGAGTTTCTTTTCAATGGCAATCAAGGTTCATGGATTGGCGGTGGCAGCCTGCACTGTACGCGTCCTGCTTTGCCTTCACGAAAAGGGCCTCGAATATGAGCTTGTACCTGTTGATGTTTTCAATGGAGCCCATAAGAAACAACCTTATTTATCTCTAAATGTGACAACTAGACTACTACTTTTTTTCATACCATAGACAAAAGTGCTTCCAATATTGATCTAACATAATTTCCATTGTTTTTGTTATAGCCATTTGGGCAGATTCCTGCATTGGAAGACGAAGATATCAAACTCTTTGGTAAAGTTACAACTTTTTTGCAATTATTTGTTTTCACAGATCTTATGTAATGGTGATGTGTTTACAGAATCCAGAGCCATCTGCAAGTATCTGGCAAACAAGTACAAGGACAAAGGAACTGATTTGTTAAGGTCAAGTAGTCTAAAGGAGTCGGCAATTGCAGAGATTTGGATGGAAGTAGAAGCTCACCAGTTAAATGGTCCACTAAGGGCACTTATCCACCAATTTGTCTTGAATCCACTCCGCGGGAAAGTTCCTGACGAGAAGATTGTGGAAGGTGAGCTGGAGAAGCTGGAGAAAGTTCTTGACGTCTATGAAGAAAGACTGTCAAAATCTAAATATTTGGGCGGTGATTTTTACACCATGGCTGATTTGAACAACTTACCATATCTTCTGTATTTCATGAAAACTCCCAAAGCCAGTTATGTGACTTCTCGTCCCCATGTTAATGCTTGGTGGAATGATATTTCTTCCAGGCCTGCAACCATTAAAGTTTCAGAAGGCATGACAATGATCTAGGAAATTAATGGAAATGAACTGTATTATCAAATATAGAATAAAAGGGTGTTTTAACAGGTTGATGTTGTCTCAATTCACGAATCTTAATTTTGTTGGTTTTTATGTATAATCTGCTATGTGCCAGAATAAAATATTTGGTTCTATTGAACTTTGTAATTTTACAAGCATGCATAAATATTTTATTCAAATCAATACCTCAGAATCCATCCTGTCTTGATTTCATCTCCAAGAATGTTATTCTCGGCCGCAAGATAACAAAAAATGCCGGCATAAATTGGATACAAATAAACAGAGGGAACATAAGAGGCAATAGATTATATAAAACCTCAAGAGAACCTGTCGACTCCTGCTCAGCTATTTAACTCTAGCTAGACCCTGTGTGTTTTTCTATGCTCCATTCTCAATTTTGGCATAGCTTCTCCTGCTTAGCCAAAGCCTATAGCAATGGTAATCAAAGTTCATGGATTGGCATTGACCACCAGCACTGCACGTGTGTTGCTCTGTCTTTCTGAAAAAAATGTAGACTATCAACTGCTCCCTGTTGACGTTTTCAACCGTGCCCATAAGCAACAACCTTACTTATCTCTAAGTGTGAGACTCACAATTTCTTTAATCTCTTCTTCTATTTTTTCTGTGGGAATTACTTCAGAAAAGTCTTACAGGAATTATTTCATTGTTTCTTATCAGCCATTTGGGCAGATACCCGCCTTCGAAGACGAAGATGTCAAACTCTTTGGTGAGATTATAGCCATCTTTGCTTTAGTTTGTTTTCAGAAATTTAACAGCATAGTGGTCGTGCTTCATGTGCAGAATCAAGGGCCATCTCCAGGTACATAGCAAACAAATACAAGAACACAGGAACTGATTTGCTAAGATCAAATAGTCTCAAGGAGTCAGCGATTGTAGAGACTTGGATGGAAGTTGAAACTCAGCAATTTGATGGTCCAATAAGGACAATAGTTCGCCATTTGATCTTGAATCCAATAGTTGGGAAACCTCTAGATGAAAAGATTGTTGAAGCCGAATTGCAGAAACTGGGGAAAGTTCTTAATGTCTATGAAGAAAGGTTGAGTAAATCCATATATTTGGCGGGAGACTTTTACACCATGGCTGATATGCACCATTTACCATATCTAATTTACTTTATGAAAACTTCCAAAGCCACTTTAGTAACTTCTCGTCCCCATGTTAATGCTTGGTGGAATAATATTTCTTCAAGGCCTGCAACGATTGAAGTGTCCGAAAGAATGACGCTTGCTTAGGAAGTTTCTGTGACAGACACCATAAAGGGTAGTGTTTTAATAAGGTTATATTTTTTTTTTTTTTAATCCGAGGGTACCTGAACCAGTTTGCACACACTTCAATTAGTCTCTCAAGAACCTGAAGTTAGCGGCCAAATAAACCTCTAGTGATTATCTCTTATTAATAATCGTAAACTACCTAGAGATAGTTGTTTTAATAAGTTGTTGTCGGGTTATTATTTAGATATAATATTTCCGTTATTGCTTCAATTTGGTTTTTCTCTTCTGTGTTTCAGATTATTATTGACTTTGCCCAGATGCATTTCCAATTTATACTCCATTGCACAAAATAAAAAACAGAGCATGCTCTGTTAACAATTAATTGTAATTAATTAACATGCATTATTGAGAAATATTTTAGATCATTCACAATTTATCAATTTTACAATTCAAATGTTGTTTAAAACATTTTTACATTTACATTTATGAAAAACAAATCATATAGAAAGAAATTTGTTTAGTTATACTCGAAGTGATGCTTCACCAATCTTCCGATGTGGACGATGCCACACCCCCTTTAATCAATAAATCACTTTCCTGGAATGTGTTGAATTTTAATTGGTCCCTGCATAATTAAAAAATGACAAAATTAACCCCAAATATAAATGACAATTTGACATGTGAACAACGTAAAAGAGACAAAATTAGAGGTGGGCAGGGATCGGTCCCTTGCGGGTCCAGGCTTTCGCCCGTTTGAGACTGGTCCCAAATGGGACCAGTCACTCATAGGCCTAGGACCGGTCCTAGGCCCATCAGAAAAACCAAGACCCGGACCAGGCCTTAGGCTTGGTCGAGACTGGTCCCATGGGCCCAAGACCGGTCCTAGGACCAGTCCCGTGGGGCTTGGATAATTTTATTTTCCCCTCAATTTTTTTTATATTTTGGGGGCAAAACAAAATTTTATAGGGGTTTTTAGTATTTTGTTGGGGTAAAATTTATAAAATTTATAAATTTTTTAGACCTGGAAGATTTTTTTTTTTATAAAATTTTATTTTAGCCCTCATAATTTATATTTATTTTCAAATTAACAGGGGGTTTTATGTAATTTGGCAGGGGACTATATTGAAAAAATACAAAAAATTTTGGGCCCAGGCCTGGGCCTTGGAGGAGGGCCAAGTGGAGGGCCCAGGCCCTCCTCCTTAGGCCTAGTCCCGTTTTGGGACCAGGCCTCCTAGGTCCGGTCCTCTCAAGGACCGGTCCTAGGACCGGGTTTTGGAGCTAGGCTTTTGGGCCCGGTCCCAAATGCCCAGCTCTAGACAAAATCAACTATAATCAATAAATCACTCCCTAATATCAATTTACATAATCTCAAATTTCAATTCAAGCATGCAAAATAGTAAGAAAACTTTATAATGCAATTTTTCATGAATAAATTCATAAATTCTTTAATTGTCTCAATATAATTTCAATTAAATTACAAATGGGATATTTTTACCACCTAAATAGGGTCATTTTCATGACTCTAACACACTCTCCAATTTACTCTTTGCTCGTCCTTGAGTAAAGTTAAGTGAACTCTTTCATCATTAAATTACAAATTGGGTATTTGGTTTTAATTTTGGCTAGGTGTTATGAGTTAATTTTAGTAATTGTTGGATATGGTGGTTGACTGAAATTTTGGAGATTGAAAGCAATAGTTTTATATGGGTAGAGCATATATGTTGATCCCCAAGAACCAAGAGTTATTAAAGTATGTTTTTGGATATAAAAAATTATTTTGTGAAATTCTGACAGCCTAAACTTCTGAAAAATTATATCTATGCTTTGGGTTTACAATTGAAGCTCAATCTCAGATATTTTTTCTTTAAACTTCTTGAGGATGGTTTGAAATTTGATTTCGCTCAAAAATTCTTTATGCATTTATGATGTCTACTCTGTAAATCCTGGAATTGATGTCTTCTGTAGAGTATGCATTTTCAGGAACTGATTTGATGCACCTATACTAATCCAAAATTAGTGATTTTAAATGCTGGTAAATCTTGTATGTGTCTTGTTTAATTCTGGAAATTTTTAGGATTTTTCAAGTTAAGGTTGAACTCTGGAACCAGTTTGACAATTTTGAAAAGTGGAAAGAAAATCATGTTTTAAATAGTTTTTTATCATGAAACGGCTTGAAAATATTACTAGATCAACATATGGTCTAAAATGCCCTGTTAAGGTCCGTTTGTTTTATTATTTTGGATAGGATTTTGGAAATAATATTGGGTAGTTGAATAAGGGAGTATTACGAGTTAAAATTTAAAAATTTATAAAAAAACCCCTACGTTTGCTAATTTAACTAAACACCCCAATATATAAATTTTTTGTAAAATGACAAAAACACCCCCACCACTTGCAATGCCAGATTCCGGCCACCATCGCTGAAATCTGGCCGAAAAATTGCGTAATGGCACATACCGGTAGGATCTGGTGGGTATGGTATTGATATGACATTTTTTGACCAGATCCAGGCCAGATCTACAGCCAGATGTGGCCATCGACGGCCGCAAAAGTCCATCTTTGGTCGTCAGCGAAAGATATGGCCGTCGTTGTCGGTCAACGATGGCCAAGATTTGGTCGTCATTGACCGTCAACGACGGTCATTTAATTGGTCGTCGCTGCCTGCCAGATCGGTGAATTATAGGCCAGTTCTGATCGTGGTGTAGGCCGTTGTGATAGATTCTGGCTACCACCGACGGTGGTTGTTGAAATCTGACAAGTATGGGTCGGTGGGGGTGTTTTTATTAATTTTTAAATTTTTTTTTGGTATTTAATGAAATTAATAAACTTAAGGGGTCTAAAAATAATTAAAAAATAGTAATATTTCTCAAATAATGTGCCAAATAATATTTGAGGAATAAAATTGGGAATACAAGTAGAAATATGGAACCAAAAGTCACCTAAGATTTTTCCTTCAAATTCAAGCTTGCATGTTTAAATTGAAATGACCATTGCAACGGGTTTGAAAGTTTGTGTTGAATTAATGTGTTTACTTGAGTTTTTGACTTGAAATTGTTGATGGAACTTAGAGTATCATTGTGTCCAAAAGGATTGCATGTATTGGATATGTTGTTTTTAGACTTTTATAATGGGATAACATAAGTTACAATTTGTTAAATTAGGGGACAGCTAACATATATTTTCCGTTAACTTTAACGAAAAATGATAAAATGACTTAGATGCTCTTGATGTTTTTTTGTTTCTTTTTTGTGAGCGAATTTATTTCTTAAAACCTAAATTGTATAAACTTTGCAATTATTTAAAAAAAAAAAAAAAAAACCAAAACCAAAACCAATTTTTTTAAAAGAAATAAAAAATTAAGAAATTTAATACCAAAAAAAACTTTAACTATTTAAAAAGGGACAATTTTAATTTTTTGTGTAAAGGGTTGTATTAATCCATCTCAATTTTGACATGAAAAATGTTACACCCACAACCTCTTCTTACAAACTTCCTCTCACAACATTAATGTGACAGTTTGTAATTGGTCAGCTCACAATAAATCTCACTTAGGTCTCATCTGATAACTTATGACTAATCGAGCTATCATATCAGAGTTGTGAGAAAGAAATTGTGGATATAGCATTACTCTTTGATATTCAAAAAAAAAAAAAAAAAAAAAGTTATAGAAAATTGCTTTCTAAGTACCCACTGCCCAGAATTCAAGTAGCCAAGGGTGCGTTTGGTTTAGTATTTTGGATAGGATTTTAGGGGTAGTATTGGGTTATTGGATATGGGAGTATTACGAGGTAAATTTNTTTGTGTACTAACTAAAGCATAGTACCTGTACTATGCGCATAGTACAGGTACTATGCTTTAGTTAGTACACAAATTAGTACCCATCCATTAGTACCCATAGCATCACTCTTCCAGGAAAGTGGTTTATATTTTGAAAAATACTATGCTTACTCACCACTTGTACTAACTGCCATACAATCTTTGTTAAAATTTTACATGGTACTCGTACTATGCGTATAGTACCAGTACTATGCGTTATATTTATAAAAGATAGTAAGATGGTTAGTAAGATGGTGAATAAGTATAGTATGGTTCTTAGTACCCAAAGTATTATTCTTCCTGGAATGTGTTGAATTTCAAATTGGTCCCTACATAATTAAAAAGTGGCAAAATCAACCCCAAATTAAATTACAATTTGATCCCTGAACAACATAAGAGAGACTAAATCAACTCTAATCAATAACTCACTCCCTAATATCAACTTACATAATCTCAAATTTCAATCCAAACATGCAAAATAGTAAGAAAACTTTATAATGCGATTTTTTATGAATAAATTCATAAATTTTTTAATTGTATCGATATAATTTCAATTAAATTACAAATGGGATATTTTTATCACCTAAATAGGGTCATTTTCAAGACTCTAACATACTTTCCAACTTACTCTTTACTTGTCCTCGAGTAAAGTCAAGTGAACTCTTTCATCATTAAATTACAAATTGGGTATTTGCATGTTGAAGCAACGTTTTAATTTTGGCTAGGTGTTATGAGTTAATTTTAGCAAATGTTGGATATGGTGGTTGAGTATTGTTGTTGACTGAAAATTTGGAGATTGAATGCAATAGTTTTATATGGGTAGAGCATATATGTTGATCCCCAAGAACCAAGAGTTATTAAAGTATGTTTTTGGATATAAAAAATTATTTTGTGAAATTCTGACAGCCTAAACTTCTGAAAAATTATATCTATGCTTTGGGTTTACAATTGAAGCTCAATCTCAGATATTTTTTCTTTAAACTTCTTGAGGATAGTTTGAAATTTGATTTCGCTCAAAAATTCTTTATGCATTTATGATGTCTACTTTGTAAATCCTGGAATTTATGTCTTCTGCAGAGTATGCATTTTCAGGAACTGATTTGATGCACCTATACTAATCCAAAATTAGTGATTTTAAATGCTGGTAAATCTTGTATGTGTCTTGTTTAATTCTGGAAATTTTCAGGATTTTTCAAGTTAAGGTTGAACTCTGGAACCAGTTTGACAATTTTGAAAAGTGGAAAGAAAATCATGTTTTAAATAGTTTTTTATCATCAAACAGCTTGAAAATATTACTAGATCAACATATGGTCTAAAATGCCCTGTTAAGGTCCGTTTGTTTTATTGTTTTGGATAGGATTTTGGAAATAATATTAGGTAGTTGAATAGGAGAGTATTACGAGGTAAAATTTAAAATTTTATAAAAAAAAAACCCCCTAGATTTGCTGATTTAACTAAACACCCTCATATATAAAAATTTTATAAAATAACAAAAACACCCCCACCACCTGAAATCTGGCCGAAAAATTGCGTAATGACACATACCAGTAGGATCTGGCGAGTATGGTATCGATATGACCTTTTCTGACTAGATCCACCACGGATCTGGCCGAAAAAGGCCAGATCTACGGTCAGATGTGGCCATCGACGGTCGCAAAAGTCCATCTTTAACCGTCGGCGAAAGATATGGACATCGTTGTCGGTCAACGATGGCCAAGATTTAGTTGTCGTTAACCGTCAACAACGGACATTTATTTGGCCGTCAGATCGGTGAATTGCAGGCCAGTTCCGGTCGTGGTGTAGGCCATTGTGACAGATTTTGGCTACCACCAACGGTGGTTGCCGGCATTTGGCAAGTATTGGTCGGTGGGGGTGCTTTTGTTAATTTTTAAACTTTTTTTGGGTATTTAATGAAATTAATAAACTTAAGGGGTCTAAAAATAATTAAAAAAATCGTAATATATCTCAAATAATGTGCCAAACAATATTTGGGGATTAGGATTGGGAATATGAGTAGAAATATGAAACCCATCTCACCTAAGATTTTTCCTTCGAATTCAAGCTTGCATGTTTAAATTGAAATGACCATTGCAACGGGTTTGAAGGTTTGTGTTGAATTAATGTGTTTACTCGAGTTTTTGACTTGACATTGTTGATGGAACTTAGAGTATCATTGTTTCCGAAAGGATTGCATGTATTGGATGTGTTGTTTTTCGGTAGAATTGATGAGTTGTGTTTGTTGTTGTTGAAACAAAATCTTTATATATAAACAGGATTGTCAATGTTAATGGGATAACATAAGTTACAATTTGTTAAATTAGGGGACAGCTAACATATATTTTCCGTTAACTTTAACGAAAAATGATAAAATGACTTAAATGCTCTTGATGTTTTTCTGTTTCTTTTTTGTGAGCGAATTTTTTTCTTAAAACCTAAATTCTATAAACTTTGCAATTATTAAAAAAAAAAAAACCAAAACCAATTTTTTTAAAGGAAATAAAAAATTAAGAAATTTAATACCAAAAAAAAACTTTAACTATTTAAAAAGGGATAATTTTAATTTTCTGTGTAAAGTGTTGTATTAATCCATCTCAATTTTGACATGGAAAATGTTACACTCACAACCTCTTCTTACAAACTTTCTCTCATAACATTAATGTGATAGTTCGTAATTAATCAGCTCACAATGAGTCTCACTTAGGTCTCATTTGATAAATTATGACTAATCGAGCTATCATATCGAGATTAGGACTGTAAACGAGCCAAGCCGAGTCGAACTTTTGGCTTATCGAGCTCGACTCGTTTACACTAGTGTCGAGCTCGAGCTCTGGCGAGCCTCAGAATTGAGACTTGAACTTGAGCTCGGTCGAGTTCGAGTCGAGCTCGAGTCAGCTCGTGAGCCCTGATCCTTATATTTTAAAAAATGACAAAACACCCCCCCCCCATTTTTTAAGTTTTAAAAAATGACAAAACACCCCCAGATTTTTTAATTCCTAAAACCAGTAAACCACAACACTTCTCATTTACGATAGCTAGCAGCACCAACACACCTCCCAGTCGTCGTAATCCCCAAAATTTCATCGATCTCCACCATGGTTTGTTGGCAACACCAACACACCTCCTAGTCGCCATCAACTCTTCGCTGTGAACCACGCCTTCTTCATCGGATTTGTGTCGCAAAGCTGTCACCATCAACTCTTCGCCGTGAACCACGTCTTCTTCATCGGATTTGCGTTACAGATCTATCGCCGTCAAACCCATTGAAGTCTCACTTGCTTGCTTTGTTTGCGATTTGGGATTTAGGGCAAGTGGGATTGGGAACTGAAATTGATTTGGGATTTTGGTGTATCGTGTTTAAGAATTCGCACTTTTGGTTTTTTTTTTTTTGGGGGGGGGGGGGACTGTCATTTTTTAAAACTTTTTTTACCAGAAAATATCAGTTTAATACCTAATCGTTTAAAAAATCACCAAAGTACTATGTGTAAGTGTACAGTGCTTACTCGAGTCGGACCAAGCTCGTGAGCCCACGAGCCGAGCTTCACTATGTTCGAACTCGACTCGGTTAACAAACCGAGTTCGAGTCAAGTCAAGTTAAGCCTTATCGAGCCGAGCTCTAAACGAGCTTTTACCAAGTCGAGCCGAGTTGGCTCGCGAGCCTACTCGGCTCATTTACAGCCTTAATCGGGATTGTGAGAAAAAATTATGGATGTAGCATTACCCTTTCATATTCAAAAAAAAGTTTTAGAAAATTGTTTTCTAAGTACCCACTGCCCAGAATTCAAGTAGCCAAACAACTCCAATGAACCATTGGGTTTAGATAACCTTCGGCCCATAGAAAGATTAAGGAAAAAAGGACTTAATAGACAATTCATCTTCTTAAACCCTAAACAAACGACATCACAACAAACCCGAAAAAACAGACACAAAACCCTCCTTCACATCACAAAAATGCGCCCACTTGACGAAGCCGAAACGACCGCCGTTTTCGAAAAGCTCTTCAAGTTCACCGGCAATAACCTCAAGAACATTGTCGAAAACCCATCTCATGAGGGACCCGACCCGAACCCGGGCCGATACTGTTTCCGGCTTCATAAGAACCGGGTCTATTACGTCAGTGAGTCCCTCGTTAAACGCGCCACGAACATCGCAAGAGCCAACCTGGTCTCTCTCGGCATGTGCATCGGCAAGTTCACGCACAGCGGCAAATTTCATCTCACCATACAAGCTTTGAATTTGGTTGCGGCGAATGCGAGGCATAAAGTGTGGATAAAACCGACATCAGAGATGTCGTTTTTGTACGGAAACCACGTGTTGAAAGGCGGGTTGGGGAGGATAACGGACAGTATTGCCCCTGGTGATGGGGTGGTGGTGTTTTCAATGTCTGACGTGGCGTTAGGGTTTGGTGTGGCGGCGAAGAGTACCCAAGATTGTCGGAAACTGGACCCCAATGGAATTGTGGTGCTGCACCAGGCTGATATTGGAGAGTATTTGAGGATGGAGGATGAACTCTGAAAAGAATTTATGGTTTTTTTGGGGAAATTTTTGAGAGGTTTTGTAAGTGGGATCTTTAATTTTATGGGGTTTAAATGTTATGATTGTTATTGTTGTTTAATTATAATGAACTTGGATTATGTTTAAAACCAAATGCATGCTATACTGAGTTTAGTAGACATATTTTTTTTTTTATTTTTAATTTTCAGTCTTGAGTTTGATTTTTTGAGCTTTTGCGTTGATCTTGAGTTGTGTGTAAGTTGCACGGTTTATATATAATGAGTTTGAGATTGTTACTATTGAGCATTAATGTTATGTTGGGTTCAAACACATATGAGAAACTTATTGTTGGTCCAGTTATTAGTTTTACTTCCCATACCCAAAACGATTTCAAGGTAGAGCGCCAAAAGAGGCTGTCAACACAGCCAGAATTATGTCTAATTTGAATAATATGATGAGAAGGTTTTATTAGGGGAGTTTTTGAGGGTTAAGGAAAATATCTGGGGAGATTTTGAAGTTTTATCAGTGGATTTTATTTGATTGTGTGTTATGCGAAGTTTGTTTTAGAAAGTATGGTTTGGATGGTTTTGTTATGTCGATTGTTATAGGTAATATTTTTTACTTTAATATGTGAATTTGAATATAGCTATCTGGTCGAATCCCAGATGGAGGTTGTGTTTGCCTAGGCGATTGTTTGGACATGATTTTGGGAGCTGGCTGCGATCCTCTGTGCTTCCTTCTTGTATGAAAATGAGCAAGTTAAATATGTAGTTTTCTAGGTGTTGATTTATTTATAGTGTCTTTGCCATTTTTTGTCAAAAATATGGAAGTGCTTTCTCAATTTTGTTTACAATTATTCAGGTTAGCAGTTGTATAGATGACTATCTATCATAGTTGGAAATTATATTCATCTTGGATTTGTTAACTGTATTTTGCAAATTCAAAATCTATGTAGGAATGCAAATATGGAATCAAATTTATGTTTGTTTGTAGCCTGTAGGCTTATGTTAGGATTGAGTTGGTTTTCTTCTGATTGATAATATTAGAGTAATAAGAGTTAGGATGTTATGTAGTAATGCAAATCCTTTATACATTCTATGATTCCCAAATGAAAATTAATGGTATGCCTGTCTAATGCTTTATTACTGCTTGAAGGTCTCTTTTCTGCTCATGGGCATGGTACTCTGTCTTTTCCTGTCTGAGAGTTAAAATTAACTTAAATTATAAACTATATTAACTCTAAATCTTAGGTCTTCGATTTGCATGCATAAATTATAGCCTGGTTTGATCTCTTCTGCATCTGTTAATTGTTAATAATGCTGGTATCCAGCTAAATGTAATGACTTTGCATACAGGTTATGGAAAGAAAAAAATCACCAATCTGTTGTGCTATTTTTCTCAGTTGAAAGTTCTGGGGTTAACTTGTTCACTTGCCTTACTCTATTTTATGTCATCCGTTTACTTCAGGTTTTGTTATTGATTCTATCATTTCAATCTCTTTCTGCTTTCATACAACTGAAAGAACTTTAAAAGAAGAAAAAGTGAAACTGCGCATGAAATATATCAAATTGTGACGATCATGTAAATCCTTTGGCTATCATTTTGTTGCCTGATGCATCAGTAAGTTGTCACTACACAATAAATTTGCATTAATATCAGAGTAGAGTATATTGCTGAAAATATGCAGCAGTTTATACTCTTTAAGGCCTGTAAGCCACAAAGTGCTGTATCTGGAAGAAAGCAATCACAGTGGCTCATGAATGCAATTTTAGCTATTAGGAAGAAGAGGCAGACAGAAATGTCAAGTAAAAAGCATGCTGCTTGCACAATCTTGCTCTGCTTTTTCCATTGATTGACATGCATCTTCTTCCTATTCGGTCATCAAAATTACTGAAGTTTTTGCTGATAATACAGTATTCATCAGCATGTCCAACAGTGTTTGTTTTCAAACTTTATCTTCTGCAGCAAAAACATTGTTTTCAAACTTAATCCTCTGCAGCAAAAACTTAACTTTGCGCATCCGGGGAATCGAACCCGGGTCAGTACCGTGGGAGGGTACTATGATACCACTACACCAGATGCGCTTCTGGGTCGGTTTTGTTGCCTACAATTAATTTTCGTTTTGAAAGTACAGTAAATAGATCTGTTCTTTAAATACAGTTCAATAAATTATAGGTAATCGGGTACTAGCTTCAATGCAATATTAAGAAACCAACTATATTCTCACAGAATACATATTGTCTTAACTAACTCTCAGTAAGCCCCAAACATAATGTGGGACGAATAGCACTACATCTTTTACTGCCTTTTGCTCTTTTTGACTATCATTTTCTTCAAAAACTTTCGTATCATAATTCATAACTTCAATATTTAATTTACCTATCGTTTTCATTATCTGTCTCCCATTTCCACTCCCCAGGACCAGAAATGACAACTGTGACTTATGTTTATAGAATGACATAACCCTTGAGCAATTTTCACCATGTAGAGTGCAGATAGGGCCCCTCATAAATTCTTAATATATTACTTCCAGGTATCACAAGTCATGCTTTCAACCAAACTCAACACTTTTTAAAAGCTAACTTTTTATTATTGTAATTTGTAATGCACCAATTTTCTCAGAGCTTACTCACCAGTCACCATGACTGCCTAATTTGAGTCTCACGAAATTAAGGTAGGCCGGTTCCCCAAAAGCACTTTTGCAACAATAGCTTGCTTCCTTCCACGTAGTTTGAAAACCAGAAAATTATTGACAAAGAACTGCAAAATTTCATCACATGAAGAACATAATAAGCTGATAATGCTAGTAAAATAAGAGGGCTAGCCAGCTACAGCCTGCTTAGAAAGCATGAAATTTTGCGAAGTTTGAACCGCTCCCTTATAGTAATCATCAATTCGTTTTCGTTTTCATTTTATTTGTTGTTTAATAGTTTTTAGTGGAAAATAACCTCACTTTGAAGGAATCTCGTACGAAATGGACAGATTTCTGATCAAGTAATATTTTTTAACCTATTGTTTGAGCTAGAGTGTAGCATTGAAAATGCTAATACTTTTGATCTTTAATTCTAAAGGGACATTATATATTGTGGAGTTCAAGCTTTACAACTGTTGGACTCCTGTTTTTCGGCAAGAAATGTCAAATATTTTGCATACATATTGACTGTATAAACAAACCAATCCACTTATCTTTGCATGTTTCTAGATTTTCAACTCCAATTAAGTTTGAAACACCATATATATTATATAGTATATGAATCTTGTAACAGCCTAACAGGTTAAAACTCCTCAAAGAAAAAGAGAAAAAAACAATAATAATTAAGAAGAGCCTGTGAGACCTCATTGCATGTGATATGATAAGAAAAAAGCTCTGGCGCTCTCTCTGCAATCAAATCAAACTATGAGAAGACAAAATATAAAATTTATTGCCAGTTGCGCTATCCTTTTGTGGATAGATAGAACCAAAGAGGCAGCTCATGTTTCTTTTCCCATATGATAGTTTGATTTGAGCATTAATTTCTTCTCTCTGAAAGGAGACGAGAGAAGGAACTGACTACTCACTGAGAAAGTACAATGAAGCCCATATCCAACAAATGGGCTTGAATCTCCAATTGGTGGATGGGTTCTCATCTCTTCTCTCCAGCCATATGATCAAGACACGTGTTGATTACACCCTTATCCACACGAGGTTGCAGTGCTATAATACAACTTTGTCAATACATGTAAGGTTCCAGCAAAATAGGGCTAAAAGATCGTCTAACTTTTACAGGAACATGTTGCTTGGAGCCATGCAGCATGGCTTAGCCATAAAGTTTTGGATTCATGTATTGTGGATATTATATATATCTTTTGAAAAAATTTACATGCACAAGATCGAATTCAAAACAGCAAGAATGGGTTTCTCTTATATACATTTGTTATGCATTGTCCTCTTTCTTTTATCCACAATTTTCAGTTTGTCCTTTGACTGCGTTGCTGCTGTCTCTAGTGGAAATATCATCGCTTGCAAAAGGGAGGCAGGTTTCCCCAGCTTATAATTAAATTGAAAATGCATTTTTGGATATATTATGTTTGGTTTGCCATTTGAACTCATATGAATATTTTGTATTTCAATATATACTCTTCTCCTTTATCTTCATCATTATCCTGTCTAGCTTGTTTAGTTTATGTTACATGGAGCATACGTGGCATGCAGTAGTTGGATCCAGGAGGCCTAATCAGAAAATCTAATGAACATTTATCCCAATCTGATGAGATCTCAAGTTCCAGCGTCTTCGTTCCATTAATATACAAACTGCTCTCAAATTTTAGCGATAAGAAAGCCAATTATAATCAATATGGCGGCCCCACGTAATTTAAGGGTAAAGCTAATGGTTTCGATACAATTCTGAAACTTCCAAGAGAGTAAGAATGACATGCTACCATCTATGGGTGACAGCACTGACAGGCTAAGTTTTGTCTAATATAATAGCTGACAATGTAGTTCTGTGTAGTCATGTCTAGTATGGGATTGGTCGAACAGTCCATATGCTTCAAAAAAAATATCACTTATACTTTGATCTTGGAGAATTACAGATAGAAGAGCTAGTTCCCTCATATTTTCATGTCAAATTCTTTTTTTTTTTTCACCTTTAATGTTCATTTTACCTACTGTAAGAACTTTTAATTATCCGCAGCCTGCAGCATGAAATCTAATTAAGAACTAACTCAGAATAAGGTGGTATTATGCCTGAAAAGTCAAGACTGACGTAGAGTCTTGTCAGTATAAAGTGGCCAGAACTTGAGAAGGTTTTGCAATCGTTCAGACGCAACTACATCACGTAATAACGTAAGTGGCACGCCCATATCAATGCAGTGGGTGAGTGCTAGGTTGGGAATCACTTTAAATATTGTCTTTCACTCTTTATTTAACTAAATATTCACATATCATGTATGACGTCAAAGTCTGTTTAGCATTTCACACGTGCGAGTAGTTGGTGTCAAAAACCAAGCATCAACAGTTAGTATTACTTCCAAGTTCCTAAGGACCAAAACCCCATTTTATACATAGTATTATAAATATGTATATATGCATACATGTGGCTGCTGAAATTTGGTACCACTTTGGTCAATCTGCTTGCGGAATCTTTGGTTGTTCTAGCTTACAGCCTGAGAAGTTTGCAGGCAGTTGTACACCAGCTGGCAGCTTCAGTTTATGGTGACCCACCTCCTTTCTTGGGCATGGACTATCAGTTTATCCTATTATATACGTTGTCCTTTTCTATATCTGGAAAAGTATAATGATTCTGAATTGGGTAAATCAGCCGTTTGCTTTTGCTATATAATTAATGTACCCAGATAAACTATTTGTTTTTTTGCTATAAGTGAAATGGTAATTTAGTAGTCAAAAATCTTTTGCACATTCTGGGTTTGGAGAGAGGAAGGATAGGTTTTTGCATTAGCCTGCGCACAATTGCATAAAATATACGACCAGGTGAATGGAATTTATATGGGGTCAGCTGTGGTTTCTTGAAGTCTTTGTAATGAATTGAAAGAGCGAGTAGTGACCACCAAGACACTTATCTTCTCTCCATGGAGAAATTCTGCTGCATATTTATGATATATGTGGACCTGTCCACTTGATAATCGCCATGATGGCAAGCAAACCAAGAAATGTGGCTTCACGTGACCAACCCTTATGCCCCTCTCTACAATCCGCTCTTTCATTTGCATCTCACAATACACAAACATTCAATTCTATTCGTAGCAAGTGTAGCCACACTTTCTAATATTCTTCCAAGATATGTTTATTATTATTATTAAACCTAAAATTCATAAACACACAAGCAAATATTGATACGTACTACGTGTCATTGCCCCTTAATTCGATTTGTCACCTCACCACATCTTACATGACAGCATGTCACAACAGATATTGCCACTAAAGTGCCATGTCAACTCCAACGATTTGGATTTTGTTTTGTTTTAGCAGAAGAAGTAGTAAAGTAGAAAAACAATTAACACACACAAAACAACCCATTCGCATTACTTCCACAATGATTGTCATAGTAATATACAGAACGTTCCAATATGACTGACTCCAAGCAAGCCCTTGTTTACATAGATAATTAACTTCCCTAAACTATATTTAACAGTGATTAAACTCAGAAATAAACCCATATGGTAAAGTCAGGAAACTACTAAATTCGACCCTTTAATTACTCAAACAAATAGAGGAAAGATCTTAACTTAACACACACAAATTACTAACACGTCCACAGATTCCACTGGCCAAAAGGGCTAGCTATCTACATATCTCTAACTTCGAAAACGTTGCGATTCTTCACAACGATGTCGTACATGTGCACGGACTTGAACTTTTTGAAGTCTTTAGGAAGAGAGATGAGATGGACGGTGGATTGTTTATGGAACTGAAGCAGAGAAGGATCGTCATAGTACCTCTCCCATCCGAGAGCCGATAGCTTATGCTCAAGAACTTCGTAAGAAGTGATAACTTCATTGGTGGGAATATGCACTAGCACTTTGCGAGAGGATTCACCATCAACTAAACGAACAACTCCACCTTTGAAAACCCAAACGCCGGACATTTTGTATATGTTAAGAGGCTTTCAAGGCGGGAATGGGGAAATGGGTAGATGAATATGTAGCTAAAGAGAGTGAAAATTTACAAGATTGTGAGTTTGAAGATCGAGTCGAGTATGGTATTTATATAGGTGAAATGAGCAATAAGATAATAATAAGTGTGACAAGATATAATAGGGGGATGTTTGGGTGAAGGTGTAGATGAGGGTAGGGGTCCAGTGAGAGAGGGAGTTAAGTTTTAATATAGGATGCAATTGGGTCACGTTTGTTTGGGACACACGTACCATCACATATGTGAGCATGATAGGATTGAAGAGAATCCTGTTTATTTTTTTATTACTATACTCTTCTGATCAACTCCACTATGGGAATCTTTGTTGTTTGTATGAAGAAAAATATTTAGATGGAGACGTATTCTAGAGAAAGCGAAAAGAAAATGACTGGGAGAAAGAGTGTATATGTTAATAGCGTAGCTCTCCAAAAGGGTTTTTACTATATTTATATTATATATATATATTCTACGGACTAAATTAAGATTTAAGATATCAACTGTCATTCTGTCAATATTCGCAGTTTACCAATGAAGATTCGACGCCGATGGTTCTCATACACAATTCAAAGAATTAAGATCAGGGAGCAGTAATTAACATGAATGTAAATTTTGGCATACTATATTGAGTGTTAAATGTATAATAAAGGAAGAAGAAAGAGAAAGAGGAAGAGAATCGGAGTTGAATAAAATTTTCCGTAAGCAGAAAGGAGAGATGCTTCGAACAACCAGGTCGAGTACGTATTAGTATTAAGAGTATTATAATAATATGTCTTTTTCCAAAATCAATGACTGGTTGCGACTTGTGAGAAAACAATTGAATAATGTTGGGGGGTGGCCGGGTGGGACCAAAATGGAAGGGATTCTCAATTCTGGTTGTTGGAAGTGGAAGATTTCTTTTACAGTAGGGCTGCTTTGTGCCTAACTGTGTTGACTATTCACTTCATTAGTTTGGCCTTCTTTTACAATTCATGATATAACTTTCTTTTACCTAATTTTCTTGGGAGGATGAGAGATCACATAGTACTGATCGATCAAACAAATCACTGCCACACTTTGTTTTTTTTTTTTTTTTTTTTTTTAATTGGCATTATCAGAACTACTCTCATCAGTTGATCATTTCCTAGATATGAACCAGCTCAATTATATTATATTAAGAGCTTTATATTGTGGCTTCTAATATTATTTAAATAACTTTATGCCATGGGTATCTAATGTGTTTCAGTTTCCAGGAAGTTTTTAGGTCACTAGTTGATGAGGATGAGAAGTTTATTCCATTAAAGTTTAAGGATGAAAAGGACGCTAAGGATAACTGGTTAGGGTATATTACCATTGGAATAAATTAAAGTTCATTCTAGTGCTGCAGCTACGTAATTGGGTTGTATAAGTGTTGCTCTTTTGTATAAAAAGAAGCGACTCTTTTCACACTGTACACAAATTTATATTTAGGCTTTAGAATACTTGAAAAATACACTTTTTCTTACATTTTTCATCCTCACACCTATTACTTTGTGTCATCTTAATTAGCCTTCTTCCAAAAGTGGCTTTAATGGAAAAATATCAATGAGTCAAAGTTTTCTCGAAGAAGAGGCAAGGCAACAACTTAAAAGTCCGTAAAAATAATGCCAGATTCTGGCACCAATTTAACACAACTAAACTAAAGTTTGATTGATATTGTGCAGGCCTTTGGGATGCACAATCTCTCTTTATCCAGCACCATGGTCACACCCACACTTGGTTTGCATCCCCCTCCTCGTGCCTCATGGTCCTCTGATGCATATTTTAACCGACCAAACCCAACACACCCCTCATGAACAAAGATCTCTTTGCTTCTTCAACAAAACTATATTTATTAATATGTCTGTCAACTTCCCTAAAATTCTTCTCAATCTTTATTGATTATTGGACCACAAAGAATTTCCCCCAAGTTGTTTCTTTCATTCAACAGTTCATACTACTGTTCAAACTTTACATTACGTAGTTGATTTCGAGCTTACTTGTGCAAAGAACGTGACTTAATTAGTAATTGATTTAGTATATAATTTTTAAGGCTTTCAAGACCATATATAGAATATTAATTAATGATGACGAGGTGGCATCTTTGAAGATTTTGCATCCCATATTTTGAGACCACCTCAGACATGGACAGTTGTTTACAACTACCAATGTATATAGTTTAGGTTCGACGACAAGCCACATCAGCTTTTCTCCTACATATTTTCTGCGAAATTCTATTCTTATAAAGTTATTCAAGAAGATAAAATATGGCTCAACCCGACCCACCTTTCTGAAAATGAATGGCTGCTTTAATCCTTTATCGCGGTGATGACAGAATCATTAAGCATTAAAGCTCAACATAAAACGAAAGCTCTATGCATATCTCAATCCTTCACTATACTACAAGCCCATGTGGTTATTGTCGTCTCTTAGAAAAGCCAAAATTGTGAATCCTAAATCTAACAAAGCAGGATCTTTTCATCATATTTCCTTTTCAAATGCATTTGCTGTTCTCTATAAACCTCTTCTTTTTGGGCAAACAAAAGCACAGATACATCCTAAATGCACTCTAGCAACATGTAGGGTTTATGCTATCAGTCCACTTTTGGATAACTCAAGTAGTAGGATTGAGATGTGTGGTTAAGGTGCACGGTTTCAGGTTCGAATTCCTCTTAGTCCCAAGATTTAAGTAGTGGGGGAGGCTTTGACGGTGGACTGTTACACTAGTCTCTCTCGAAGATTAATCGAAGTACACGTAAACTGAACCAAATATTTTAATTAAAAAAAAAAAAGTTTATGCTATCAGATGCATGGTTTTTATCTAATGCGTTTAAGTAAATAATAATCAAACCTTAATTTAATTTATGTTATGATGATCACTTTATTCAGAATTTTTTAATTAGTTGTTAATTATACTTTTAAGATACCTAATTTTGGTAATAGGGGACTTTGACAACATACTTTTACAGACACAGATAAATATACCAATACAATTATAGATAGTATGTATTAATATATATAATGAATTAATATTCAACTTCTTGTGTTAATGATGCTAGGTAGCTCTTCTCTAGCTATTGTCCAATAACTCAAATTAATTTATACCATCACCTTGGGCGGCTGAGACAGGATTAGAAGAAGATTATATATTCCATTTAGCAAAAGGTGAATATTAAATATATGATTATTGCATATAGTTGATCATCATCTTTTAACACACTTTTCTATCATTAATTGGCTTCAAAAATTAAGTACAAAGTAAATTGCATCTTTTAGAAGCAAAATAAGATGATTAATTATAACATTCTACATGTTAAATTAAGAATATTTCTTCTTCCAATTAAGACGAAGAAGAAAAATGATGTGGGACTTGAGGAACGTGATGCTTTGATTATCTCTCTCTCTCTCTGTATCTCCTAATGGAGAAGAACTGTAAACCACTATGCGAAAAAGGCCAATGGCATACTTAAATATGATAAATTAGCAATATTCAAAGAGAAATTCTCTTAACAAAAACTAAGTATATATAAATTCATCTTAATCACACAGTTGGGGTATCTTCACATTAAATTACGTCTGTCTCTTCTCTAGTGTATATGAACTTATTCTCCATAACTTGTTAAACTAATGAGAGGAAAAAAACAATTGGGTATATTAAAGGTTGAGTAATTTAGAATGGTGCTTGTCTGGACATCGATGGGAATTTTTCTTCTAGGAAATTAGTTTTAAAAAAAAAAGAGTGAGAATTTTGCTGTAAAGGGAATAAGTTTAAAGCTAATAAAGAATGTTTTTTGCTTATCTATTGTTAGGATTATGCCTAACTTTGATTAAAGAAGATGGGAATGTAGACCATTTACATTGATTTCAAGAATAAAGTATTCAACATTTGGAATGTGGGATCAATTCCTTTATATTTGAGGGAACAAATTAAGAGGTTTAATCCTTCCAAAACTCACATGATTAATGTATCTAATCATATACTTGAAGCCACACAAATTTTGTAATTGGTCTTATTATGGGGCTGCTCTAGAAACTTACCCAGCAATATTCATGCCCATATATTTATGATTGGATTTATGTAAATGGCCTGAAGATTTTTGTTTTGGGATTCAATTCTCTTAAACAATATGGTACTGCATGCTTTCTTAATTTTTTTTTCGGGATTTCATTGTATTTTTTATGCTTTTATATGCCATTTGAAGATTAAAAACAAATATGGACTTAAAGAGAATAAAATAAAACAAAAAATTGAAAGAGAGATTGATTGCTCATCTTGAACCAGAGTTTATTTCAAATCTGAAATTCTCATATTACCTTGACTATATTTTATATATGTTTTCTATTGTTGTTAATATATTTCTGTGTATAATATCTTTGCAAATTTTTATGGCTATGGTAATTCTTGAATTTAATAATTAGCTGTAATGGATCCTAAATTCCTAATGAAGACATATATATATATAATAAAGAAAGAAAACAGACACAGGGTGGTTTTATTTTAGTCTCAATAAAATTATATTTAAACCTCATTTCTAGTTGTAATTGATTTAAAAATTCTATTTTAAATAATTCCAGCTTATTAAGAAAATACCCTTTAATTAATTCTCTTCTAAAACAGTTTCTTCGTTTTGACTCTCCTTATTTCTTGAAGTACTAATACATGTAGAACATATCAAAATCTTCTGCCGTTTCATCATGGCCTCATTCTCAATCCTTATACCGTGCAAGACATCTCGACTTCAATAATTGGACACTTAAAAAAAATTCTCTTCGCGATAAAGGTTCGTTAATAAACCTTGAGTTTCCATTAAAGAATCCAAAAAGTCGTGTCAAAATTATAGGTTCCTGGAAGGGCTTAATTTGTTTATCTCTTGATTATTTCAAAGACTTGTTTATATGTGTTGATGTTTGATTTTAACACNAGTTTAAAAAAAAAAAAGTTTATGCTATCAGATGAATGGCTTTTATCAAATGCGTTTAAGTAAATAATAATCAAACCTTAATTTAATTTATGTTATGATGATCACTTTATTCAGAATTTTTTAATTAGTTGTTAATTATACTTTTAAGA